AAAAGTCGTGGAAATTTGTGTTAATTGCTGTCAAGTGACAATTAAACGTGCTCTCGACGTCTCTGAATACAGGTAAAAATGACTTGATTGCAATGATTATGCCTGCTGCTGCTGCAGTGGCTGCCGGGGCTTCAGTGGCTGTGGCTGGGTCCGCACTTGATTAATTGACGCCTTGGAATGGCAGAGAGTGCAACGGCATGAGGCATGCCGCATGCAGCATGCGGCATGCAGCACAAACGTCTGACGCTTGATTGACTTGAACGTGGCGCGGCTTTGGCCTCTGTTGTGGCCCATTCGTCGTCGTTGTCGTTGTCGAACCTTTTGCTAGCTCTAGCTAGGAAAAGTTAACAAGTTTTTTCCTTCTTCATTTTATTTGTATATTTTTTTCTTCTTTTGCCGTTCCACTTGACGGCAAACGAACAGCGAATGAAGACGCAAACGCAAACGCGCAAAAGGCAATCGCAATCGCGCCATAGACTAGAGTCGGGAGACCAGCAAGATTGAAGACCCAAGACCCAAAGAGCATGACTCTTGGGCCCAGCTAAATTCAACTGCATACTGTTTTTCATTATACCCATTTGCTGACACATAAAGCGGGTATATTAGTTGCAAGGGGAATGCTTTCAATGTCTAGTCTTTGCTAGAGTATATCATTGCCTTACTAGGGGCTCTCACTCGTTTAGGGCGTGTCAGGGCGGGGCATATAAGCTTTAATAATGGCGTTAGCATACCTCATTTGAAGAATATGTATGCTTATATGGCATATTCTACGTCCAATCTTTAGTTGTGGGCGTGGCAAAAGGGCTACTGAGAAAATATGGAATATTGTCTCTAGTCAAATGTATCAAAATTATATTATTCACAGTTCAATAATAATAAGAGCAATAAATTGTCAATTTAATCACAATAGACAGGCTCTATAGCTAGACAAAACACTCTATACATACGCCCATTGGGGGTGTGGCAAAGCTCTCTATATAGAGAGCTGGAATGGCAAAAGTTTTTCACATGAATAAATCTAAATACATTAATAAACTCCAGAATGGTTAATATTCTTTGCCTGAGCAAGTATTAAGCAGCCGATAATGCTCGTTTGGCTGATTTTCTTATATACATATATTTTCTTAGGTGCTGGCTGTTGATGGCCAGCAATGGCAAGCCGAGGCAAGCCGAGGCAAGGCAAGGCCTTTATCTAGTTGAGTCTATCTAGGCGTAGCTGTCCATACGTCTGTCTCTCTGTCCGTCTGTCTGTCTGTCCCAATTGTCCGGCATGGACAACGGCGTTGACGACGAAGCGTTTGGCTGCTCATATCAGCCATGTCTATCTGTGGCACTCGCTGGCTGTCTCTGTCTCTACCTCGCTAGCTCTCTCGTATATTTGTCCATTGAAGCATGCAATTGATTGCTGCAACAACAACAACAGCAGCAGCAGCAGCAATAACAACAACTGCAACTAGTCAGTGCCTGGCTTCCATCTCTGGTCTCTGGTCTCTGGTCATTTTTTTTTTGTTGCTTTCAGTATTTTCAGTCAGAGTTTGAGTTTGTGCCCGCTGCGCTTTAATTGCCTTTTCATTGCAACCCGTCGACCGTTTGGACATTGGTTTTTGGCCAAACACCCTGCCCCTGCTCCCTGGCCCCTGATCTCTCGAGTCCTCGACTGCAGCCAGACAGACTGATGGCCCGCCAGGCCAGTTGGACTGTGTAATTTGTGGTTGTTGTTCTCAGTTAATGCATTACATGAATTTTAACAAGCTTTGCAGTCGTACAATCTATAGTTCCCTCTGCTCTCCTGCTCTCTCTTTGTCTCTCTCTCTCTCTTTCTCTCTCTGTATTTGTGTTCTCTGCTCGATTGTTTATTTTAGCCGGCATCGTTCTTGTCTGATATGCAAAAGCTCTTTGCGTACGAAATTGAATTTATTTGCAAATATACGCAACAGTGTTGCAAAGTGTCAGCTGCACGGCTGACTGAGCAGTGTTGTTAAAGAGTATATAAGGTTAAAGGCATGTTTGCTAAATCTTTTCTAGCTGTTTATGTAAAGTTCTATGTAAATATATATGTATACACATTTAAAGATATTTTGTAAGAGGGCAATTACATATATTATAGAGCTGATAAAGAATTCAGAAATTCTAATATTACATTGATATCATTTGCTTGTTTAATAATATATATTAGATTTAATTATCTATAATAATTTTAATAATGAGGGCAGTTTGAATACATTTTTATCAATTTTTGAGATTTCTTAGTTTTTTTTTCTCGCCTTGTCATGCTCCCAACATCGGATCAAACTAACTCTATTTAACTAGCGTTACTAGCCGGTCTGACTGAAATTAAAGCTTGCTCTGCCAACTTTATCAGATGGTATAATTATGTTTTTCTGCAATATCGGCCTAATGTTTACATGCTAATAAGAGAGTAATAATAATAGCTCATCGTCTAATAGTTTAGCCGGGCTGTTAAATATAGCTGCTAGCTCTGGGTTGGCTAACCAATTATTAGATGGCACATACTAATAATTAGCGGCACTTCAACAACACTGGCACACACACACACACACACACATAGAGAGGGAGAGTGGCAACACTAATTCGTACTCGACTCGCATAACAAGTTTTGCATTCATATATTTGACACATGCCAACACGTTTGCATTCAGCGCAGCTCGTGTTGCACCTTTAGCTACACCTTTAGCCAACTTGCTTTGCGGTGTTGGCCAAAAACTAATTGGCTGCGTTTTTGGTTAATTAGCGCAGTTTCAACTGCCACCAGGCAACATATCCGTTGCCGTTACTGTTGTTGTTGTTGTTTTTGCTGTTGCCTTTCCCGCTGCCTATCGAAGCGCTCAAATCTCGCGCACACGCGCTTTTATTGCCACTCGAAATTGGCAGGCGATACAACAACAACAACAACAACAAAACAGTTTGTGGTTGGCAGCCGCTGCAGCGGCAACTATTTTGTCTGCATTAAAGCGCTGTAATTATTTTATGCCAGATAACAATTTGATATTGTCAGACGCAGTAAAATGTTCGTTCGTTCGTTCGTTCATGCTGGAAATTCGGGCAATGCAACAGCAACAGCAACAACAACAGCAACTGCCGTAGTCACAGCACATGCGTGTGCATGCAAATTGTCGAAATGGAAACGTTGCACATTAGGCTGAACCAAAATTGGCTTACAGTGTTGAGTAAGACAATAGAGAAATTTAACTTTATGAAACGGAAAATGTTAAAATAAATAGACAAATTTTATGAAATAGTTAGACTTGACTTAATCATTATATGATACCGATCAGCTTGAGTGTTAATTGCGACCAGTGTTGGTTAAGCATTCAAGTGGACAAACAGAATTGATATTTGTATATTATATATTATATATATTATTAAATATAGCTAAATAAAAAACTCCTACAATAGTAAAGAACAGGCAATATATGAATAGTAATAGTCTTTAAAACCAGTGCTGGAAAGGGACGCCAATAAAGGTAATTTCCTTTGAGCAGAACTACAAAGAAAGCCGCATTTAACCATTCCATAATGCATAACACCTTGTTAGGGCTAACTTACATTAATATAGCTAAAAGCGAAAAAGCCAGTGTTGATAACGAATGCTGGAAAATATCGTGTATATTTAAACAATACTAAAAAGTTAAACTGAGCTAGTAATTTATTGCCATCAAATAAAAACTGGTGATGTGAATCACTCTAAGCCAGTGTTGATAATTGTTATGCAGCAAAAAAGTTAGAGTTAATCTTAAGCAGAGCTAAACTAGTTAATCCAAACCATTCAACTGCAGTTACTCTGCAAACTGCATTCATAAATGTCTCAAACTGTTGAGTTCGCTGCGATTTCAGCTCATTAAAACTAAACTAATTCAAATGCCAAACGTTTGCTTTTGGCTGGCTTTGTTGTTTGTTCGTTTGGTTTTTGGGTCCACTCTAATGGCAGTGCAACGGCATTTTCCATGCACACTCATATGAATAACAGACGCGAAACGCTGTGCCGACTGCCAATGCGGCTGTCAGCAGCCTGACAAGCCCCAGCGGGCAGCAACACAAGCAGCGCAGCAGCAACAGCAGCAGCAACAGCAACAGCAACGTGCAACAACAACAACTTGCAACAATATCAACATAGTAGCTCCAACAGCAGCAACTTGGGTCCTCGTCAGCGCTTTAACAATTTGCAATAAATTAGTTAGCAACTGCGCCAAGTTTTCACTTGAAATGCGATTCGAATTGCATTTTGCACGGCGACATTTTTGTTAGACTTTTCATTCGTTTTTCTCTAGCCAGTCAAGCATATACATACATACACATATATAGCTTTACCGTTAGCTTGCTTTTCGCTCGCCTGACAGTTAACACTTTTTGCCACAAGTATTTCGAGCATGTCTTGACAATTTCACACTCGATCTAACGTTGAGTTGTTGCTGTTGTTGTTGCTGCTGTTGTTGTTGTTGTTGCTGTTACAACTGGCAACTGGCAACAGCTGGCGCAAACTAATTTCTCTACCTGCCTGCCACATTCGGCCCTTCAACAGTAAAACTCACCTGGAATGCGGCACAGCAGGCGTTTGGTTACGCCCACATAACATGCAGCTATTGTGCTGAGATCCAGTTAAATCTTTCACAGTTGAACGGAAAATATGCTTAATGAGTCGGGTCTCAGCTCAAGGCTGGGTTTTATCCTTCCCACTGTTTAATCCATTCGGAAAGTGGACTCAATATTAGATTACATCTACCTGACTATTTAATGTGATGAGATTTGCAGTTGAAACTGGGATTTTTTTATGAAAACCTCAAGATAAGTCTATTAGAAGTAGAGATAATACTAGGATCACCCGGATAATGATTATTCTGATGACTATTGAGCTTTGAACTTGAGCTTGAGCTGTGCTACGATTCTATACGTCAGTGCCAACATAATCAACATTTGCCTTTATTCCATATCCATAAAATTGCAAAATTGCAATATGTTTATCGATATAGTCATGATTATACTCAACCAAGCAGATTTGTATTACTTGTCAACTTTGATATCAGTACAAATTCCCAATCGACCTCACCGGATACCTGAAATATTATCTTATAATATCCCTCGGGTGCAATTTCGGGTAATCCATCGCCATTGGCCACACACTTCTCCAATTTGTATTGCGCCCTGGGCCAGGGATAGGTGTTGCCAGGCGCGGGCAGATTTGAGCAGTTAGCTAAATTCTTGTAGACAATATTTTCGTAATAGGTCTCGGTATACTTTTCATATGTCTGTTTGGGCATGGTCCATGGTAGTAGGGTATAATCCTTCTCGTTGCCCGAAGCGCTGCGATAACTGAACGCTTCTACCTGATAGCCAGATTTAATATGATATATATATGTATAAATTTCATATAATTAACAAGTATTCACCATTGTCGTCTCGTCTACGTCGTAGTTCCAATCCAAATTGATTGATATGGTAAAATCACGTCCATTACGATCCAACGCTGCTTCAATATTTAATTTCGATGGATCCGAGGTTTTCGATTCAACAGAGAGTGGTTCGTAAATCCAGTTGCGCTGTAACAGGACTTGTCACCTAACAATTCTTCACTTTTTATATATTTTCACTTACTGCGGCCAGAGAACATTTGAGCAGGAACCAAAGTACGACTAGCCTTGAATTCACGAACATTTTTAATGTCACGCTTAAAGGTCTAACTAAAATATTTATACTTTATATAGAATAAAAAATATCATTCGATTCCGTTAATGTTGTACTTTTTTTGTAGATCTTTAACAGTACTCACAATTTTTGCTGTTAACATGGCCATAACATTCATCTGATTGCGCTCATTGACGGCCATATTTCGTGCCAACAGGTGTAGATAGTATTCTCGAATTGTACCTAATTAAACTAGCATTTATTTGTATAATTGACTATATTTCCCCATTTTATTTGACAATTCGTTAATTGACTTTAAAATATATTAAGCCATAACACGCTTAGAGTTTTGGCTATTCAACTTAGCCTACATAAAATTGATATATCCATATACATATAACAAGTTATTCATTTGATGTGATAAAGATAATATCGATTGCCGTAAATACCATATAATATCCTTCGGGCACTATTGGAGCATGCCAGATGGAACGCACTTATCGATATTTATAGATTAATACATATATTAATTATTTTTGGAATTGTAGATATTGAATAATAAATAATTTATTTATTTAATATCATTTTATAAATATAGCTTACAGAAGAAAATTCCTAAAGATTTTAATATAACCGACTAACTGTTTTTATTACTGAATGCTTTTTATTTAATTGTATGTGACACTTGTTACGCAATTTACAATAACTAATAGCCCATTGCATTGCTCTTAGACACAATCTTCATGCCATAAACGAAGTTCCAGTCAACTGGGCCCGTTGCGGCGAAGAATATCTTATAGTATCCTTCTGGCGCTATTTCAGGCATGCCATCGCCCGTTATCATGCACTTCTCAAAGTTGTAGGTAATCTTAGGCCATGGAATTTCTTTGCCAGGCTCGGCTAAATTCGAACAGCTGCCCAAATTGGCATAGAGCAAATCCTTATAGTACTCGGCTATGAATTCCGTAAAAGGTTTCTGCGGCACGTTCCACGGCATCAGCTTGTAATCATCTTCGCCGCCCGTTTGACTGTGATAGATCAACACCTCGACCTATGAGCAAATATGCTGAGATAAATGTTCTGTCATGCGCTCTATAACTAACCGTAGTCGTATCATCCAGTTGGTAATGAAAGTCTAAAACTGCTGAGAACGTAGGCTTATCACGACCCTGGCGCACAATTTCCGTCGTAAATCCCAAAAGGGATTCATCCGAAGTGGAGCTATTCACAAACAGGGTCTCAGCATCCCAATTGCGCTGCATGATACGGATAATGGGTTTGATGTTGTTATATAACAATTGGATTACATATTTTCTTATATATGAATGTTACCTTGCCGCTGCAGCTCGTTGAGAGCCATAATATTACAAAGATCCATGAAACAATTGATAGAATATCCATTTCCCCAGCTGCTATTAGGGTTGACTTTTCGTACTGCTGTGAATCGCATTGAGCTGGAAGCTTTTATAGCAACAGATTAGCCAGTTAACCGGATCATAAATTGCATAACCAACAACCAGTGAACATGGCATTTTATCTGATTCAATTAAATAACATTTATTGGCATTCTAACAGTATGTACTGAAATATATTATGATATATATTATGTATATATGTCAAGAGGAAATTGAAAAGGGGACAAAATTAAGCAAATTCTATATCTTTAACGACTTGCTCTATAGATTTACCAAGCAGAAACTTAGTTCGACAACTTCAATCTTCAATCATACATATTTAATCAGAATATACTTAATATTTTACTTTATTCTCCGCTTCACAATTTTCAATAATATCCCATTGCATTGCTCTTAGAAATAACCCTCATGCCGAACGCAATGCTCCAGTCAACCGGACCAGTAACATTAAAAAATACTTTATAATAGCCTTCGGACAATATTTCGGGCAAGCCTTCGCCGGGAAAAGTGCAGTCGTCGAACTTATACGTCATTATGGGCCAGGGAATTTGTTCGCCGGGCTTTGGCAAATTCGAGCAGTGGCCCATATTGGAATAGACCACATTATCGTAAAATTCCCGGAGATAGTCGGGAAATGCTTTTTTTTCTATGCCAAATGGCATCAGCTTGTAGTCGTTGTCGTGACCCGTGTAACTTTGATAGACTGTCGCCTCAATCTGAGTGTAAATCAATTTAAATACTGGCCTGTTGGGAAATACAACATATACCAACCTGGGTCTCATCATCTATTTGATAGTTAATTTCTAAGACGATCGAGACGGTGGGACTGCCACGTCCCTTGCGTTCGAGTCCCGTCTGGATGCTCACTAGCGATTCGTCCGATGATTTGCCAGTAATAAACAGCGCCTCATAGTCCCAATTGCGCTGCATGAAGAGAATCCCTTGTAATCCTCATATATCTAGAAAGTTACATTGAGATATACTCACCTCTGCTTTGCAGCTCATTGAGAGCAAATATAATGCAAAAATCGAGCGAGAAATGAATTGAATATACATACTCTTAGCTGTCCCAGCTCAACTTCTATATTGCCCCATACATTGTTGGTTTATATAGCAACTTAATGGCTTGATCTAAGATCATATGACATGTATCCTAAAGTATTAGCTAGCTTTGAACATATCCAAAAATATTTCATTTAAAACATTTCGGATTGAATGGCATGATTAACATGACAGTCAATCCGATTTAAATGGAATATTTTTAACATGCTAACAAGTCTGTTTTATATATTGACAAGATCTATATAATAACTGTTGTTTATTTCTATCAAAAATCTAGAATTAATATGTAGAAAAATGTTTATTTATTGTGCATTTATTTAAGGTTTTGAGTGTATTCATTTATGCTAGAAGTTCTAGCTCAATTCCCTGGTGAAGTAATGCACAGATCTAAACGCTGTTAGGATATATAGCTTTCGAAAGAAAATATAATAAATACATTTTTAAAATATAGATATTTATTCCCTTCTCCATATAGTTTCCGATATAAACTCCAAAAATAAAACCGATTTTATTTAAGTTTCTTTAAGACTAAGTTTTTCCAATTTTATTCACATTTCATATATATCTCGTATTATTCTTAGTCAACCTTGCACCATTCAAAAAATCATTTTTGTTGTCAGCTTTATGATTGCAGTGTAGACCATTTCGACCCTTCCTCCAATTTTGAAGATGATTTTATAGTACCCTTCGGGTAGATATTCAGGCAAACCTTCGCCAGTTGCCGAGCACATGTTGAATGTCACGACACCCTTGGGCCATGGATAGGCCTCCTCGGGTGTCGGGGCATTCGAGCAGTGCTTCAAGCTCTGATATGCAATGTCTTTGTAGTAGGTCTTGGCGAAGTCTTTGAATGGCTGATTTGGTATGGAGAAGGGTAGAATCGTATAGTCGTCCTCGGCGCCTGATTTACTGCGATAGCAAAGGGCCTCAATCTAAGTAAATACTAAATATATTTCCAATATTTGGGAATCATGCAGTGATCAGCACTTGCCATCGTTGTCTCATCCACATCTTCAGTATTTGTCAAATTGGCTGATATGGCATAATCGTATCGACCCACACGCACGACCTCGGAAACCACATTTATTTTGCTCGCATCCGAAGTTACAAAGTGTACCGATAGGGGTTCATAGTCCCAATTGCGCTGTCGTTTGGGAATAAATTGTCAATTGATCAGTTCATCTAATTTATACATATATATATATATATATACTTACCATCCCTGCACAGCCATGGCACAGCCCAATCACCAGAAATGTCACAGCGAGCACGTCTCTCAGTCGAGTTGACATATCCATTTGTGTTTGGCACTATCCAACACACATTATTTATACATGTTGCCAATGTGATGCAATATAGCAATAAATTCTGTCTAATTAGAGTTGTTCTGAAACGCAAATCAGCATGCCATTATCATTGCATGCTAGGTCACCAGTCGTAGGTACAGAAACTTGACAACAGTCCAATTAATCTTAGTGAATCGATAGTATAATCATTAACTTGTAGTCATCCAGATAATGCAGAATAATACTACTCTAAACTCATTTAATGCGTGAATTTATTAAAAGAATGAGAGGAAGAGACGTGACTAATCTCACAGTCTTATACTTATTATAGATTAGAAATAAGGGCATAGTCCATCTAGGCTTATTCGTCTTATATGGTTTTTTAGAGAGAGCTGTGTAAAGCTATATAGAAGATTCCGTTTATCCACTAGTCAAACATTTCTCATCCAAAATGAAATATCAAGTTATATTGCAGTTATTTTCCCATATTAGATATTCTAGTGGATTATAATTGGAGATAAATGCTTCATACTAGCTTCCCAAGCTGTGGATTATCTCAATTATCCACAACATTTTATATTGATTAAAAAACTTTCGTAATTCTGTATACTATATATTACACCTTATCCCATATTAATACAATATTACTTCACATATATTCATACATCATTCATCCCCAACAACGATTCGTTCTGTATCCTGTCCTTTAGCCAATCAAATCAGTTTTGGTCGTAACCTTCACGATGGGGTTGAAGGTCAGGTCGCATTGCCCGGTAACTTGAAACAATATCTTGTAGTAGCCCTCCGGCGCTATTTCGGGCATACCCTCGCCAGCGACGATACACTTATCGAAGGTGTAGGTGCCCTTGGGCCAGGGATATGCATCCTTTTTCTCTGGTATATTCGAGCATTGGTGCAAATTCTTGAAGATGACCTTCTCGTAGTACTCCTCGACAAACTCTTCAAATGTTTGCTTCGGTATGCTCCACGGCAATAGCTTGTAGTCCTCCTCGTTGCCCGATGAGCTGCGATATCCATACGATTCAACCTGCACAGGAACTATATAGAAACCGATTCACTTTGCTAATACCAATAGGACTCACCATTGTGGTCTCATCCATATCAAAATTGACAACGAGAGTAGCAGATATAGCGTATTCGTCGCGTCCGACTCGCTCAACTTTGGTCTCCAATTTGACCATATCTTCATTGGAGGATTCGCATTTAGTGGACAGCGGCTCATAGTCCCAATTACGCTGTAATATATTATATGTATGTCTATATCCTCTAATCTATATCCTAGCGGTACTGTACCTTGCCAGCAGAATAATCTGGCAGCCAGAGCAGCATCCATACCATAGAGAGCGACAGCAGCGAAGGTTTTAACATTTTCAAAGTGATTCCGACTGGTCTTGCCTTACCCTTTATATAGAAGAGATTAATCACGTGTAGATCCCTAATGCAATTTGCCTTGTTAACAACAATAAAAGTTGTGTTAACGAGCATAACAAATATTTTTGTATTTCAAATTCATTTGAATCGACGGCAACTGATAAAACGATCATTCAGAGCATGCAATAATAGACCGAAGCTAACAGTTTATATATGTATATATAATATATAATAATATATAGTATATACTCAGGAATATATGTATTAGATGATAATTGAATGTTACTAGGCGTCTCTATATCAGCTACTTTCTAGGCAAGTAGCAAGAATTTAAACTAATTCCTCAATATAGAATTTTGTATACAATATGATCTTGATCGTGTATAATTGTATATTGTATAAGAGCATATTTTAGCTCTTATACAATATACAATTATACACTTGATGATTAATTAACAAAAGCAATTTAACTGCCTGCCAATGTCCATATCCAACCCCTCTCTGAGTAGAGACTACTACTACTCTACTGTCTCACTCTACGCTTTCTCACTCGCACTCTTCCTCTCTCTCCCTCTCTCTCTCAAGGCCTTAAAGCGACGTCCACTTGAGTATGCCGCAGTGGCACTTCAATTGCCAGGCCATTCAGTGATCGATATTGAAAACAAAATATGCATGTGTGTGTGTGTGTGTGTGTGTGCGTGTGTGTGAGCCAATTGAATGATGTGCCGCAGTGTTGTAGTACCCCTTAATGCCAGCCTGCGCTTTAAGTGGCATGATCGACACTCGAGTGTGTTCATCCGTTTCTTTCCTTTTTTTGTCTCTCCTCTATTGAAGCATAGCTGCTCTTAAGATCTACTCTAATGCAGAGGCGACTGCACTTAATTTAATTGAACCACAGATGAAGCCACCAACGCAACTGGGGAGAGAGAGAGAGAGAGAGAGAGAGATAGTGAGAAAATTTAAGCCTGTGTGTGTGTGTGTGTTATGAATATAAAATCAAATTATCGCGCATCGAAGCGAATCAAAACAAAATAACAGCCAGCAAAATTATAAACGAAGCTCAATTTGTGCCGCACAACTTGAGGCAAAGCTGCGGACGTCGCAGCAGAAGTAGCTGAAGCTAAAGCTGAAGCAAACCTCGCTGGCCTGGCCTGGCCTGGCTGGGCCCGGTCTGGTCTGAGTATCTCTGGCCGACTCCTTTGGGTGCCTTTTTGCGGTTAGTTCGCTAATAAAAGCGCGCAACTGGCAACTCCCCAAAGGCGTTCATTTAGCGGCAGCCGCGGATCGATCTTATACAACCGCAAAACAACCGATGACGACGATGAGAGGATGAGGTTGGAGGCTGCAGTTGGGGCTGTGGCTGGCAATGGGGCAAGGGCTGGGGCGGTGGGTATGGGCTGGGACGTGGCTATGGGTATGGTTGCTGACGATGTGGTCGTAAATCTTGAACTTAGTTGCCGCACAGACGCCGCGCAGTGCCCCGGCTCCTGCTCGACTGCTCTCGCTTGATGTTTAGTACGTGCGGACAGCCTTTTGGGTAGCTCCATAACAAGACCCCAATGCCAGCGTCAGTCTCTCTCTCTCTCTCTCTCTCTCTCTCTCTCTCTCTCTCTCTCTCTCTCT